TTTGTATTCCAAGGCATCTGTGAGTGGGGCAGGCTGATGAACACACACACAAACACACACACACACATACACAAGAAACACACACAGATGCATATAAACCATTTACCTTCACCCTACCAGACTGTGGGTGCACACTTGCCTCATATTTGCAAAATTAAGGTCTATTTAAGTAAAACAATGTTTGCTATGAGGCAACTTATTGCACCTGCCTATCCAGAGAATGAACTAGCAGCTTCCATAGCTCAAAATGAATAACACATGAACAAAATGACCATGTCACTCACTTGCTTAATACTCTCTATTGGTTTTCCATTGCCTTCAAAAATTCACACATTAAGTCAAAATACAATGTAAACTCACTTTATATCCATATAAAAGATGTAAAGTGTTTACTAATCAAAGACACAGACATTAAATAATAATGAGAGGCAAGTTTACACATATTTAACTGGCAAGTAGAAGTTTAACTACCCAACAAAGGCGAGGCATTTTTGAGTCAAGAGCCATGAAAATGTTCATACCCTTAGGCCAAGCAATTTCACCTGTAGGTTCAACTCCAAAGAAGCACTATAAGGAGAGAACCTCATCTATGCACAGACCTCACTGACACACCGAGAACAGGCTGACAGAGAGTGAGCGCTCAGCCAGTGTGTATGGAACACTGGATGGAAGAGAAAGAATGAAGAGAGGGAGAATGAGAGGGAGGAACATTAGAAAGTTTCTAAACATGCAACCATGAAACACTTTGCTAAACGTGGGAACTGCGACTAGCACAACAGTAGGTAACTTGAAAGTGACAATTGTAGAGACCCATGCAGCCATAAGTGGTGGTGGTTTGCGGGGCATGGGGAGCGGAATGCAAAGTTGACCTGGTTTATGCAGACCTCCAGGGAATTCTCTGAGTATACAGGCATAGACTGGAAAGGACTCTGTCTGATGCACCGCATAATCTCTTGGCACAGTCAGTTTGATATATAGGTATGGTGGAAGTGAGGGTAAAGGACCTGTTCTGAATTCTACTAACATTGCAATAAAGTGTCTGTGATAAAACGCAAAGTTGTCAGGGAGCTGGGATGCAAAAAAGGAGATTGTAGCAGCAGCATAGAGCAGTGTCATTCTCAATGTTGGCTGTCCATTGGAACTGCCTGGGAAGTATGAGAAATATAGATGTCTGAGCCCCACTTACAGAGATCCAAATTTGTTTGTTCTGCTTGTGGCCTGGGCATCCAAATGCTGAATCTCCCAGGGTGATTCTACTATGCAGCTAAAGTTGAAGCACATAGACATAGAGCCTTGCAAGCCAAAGCCGGGTCCACAACAGGCAACACCATGGCACCCAGAGGCTTGTGGGAAATGCAGAATTTCAGTCATGCCCTACACTTATTGAATCAGAATCTGAATTTTTAAAAACTCTCCAGGTGAATACATGGATATGCCACTCTGGAAAGCCCTGGCATGGACAGGTAATAGATTTGATTTGGTCTGCCTTTTCTGTGACAGTCATGCCCTTCTTAATTTGGTATGTCAACTTTTGTACTTCAAAACACAGAACGGCCACGTTTTCTTCTGGAAATACCTGCTCTTTCTGAAATCCCTCTGCTATCCTTCGATAGAAATGCAGTAAAACACATTGTATTTACTGGCACAGTTGAAAATGCAAGAGATCACTCAGTTTCTTCCCCCGATTTTAAAATTGGAAGTGACCTTAGGAATTATCTCCAATCACGCTATTTCACAAGGAAGAAATTAATGTCCACAAAAGCTAAGACATTACCAGATGTCACATGGCTAGGAAACAGCAGAGCCGAGTTTTAGAACATCATTTTTGATAAATCAGAAGTTGTCCTTTTGAAAACTTAGTCCTCCATTGTAAAATTCGCTTAGCATTACGTCATATTTACACATCACGGCTTTCTTAGTTTGAAAATAATAATAATATATTTTTTAAAATCCTTAGATGAGTTATCTTGGATGAACCAAATTCTGAGGGGGGTGTGATTATTGGAAACCTGCAATAAGTACTATATCCATTTCTCTGAACGCTGCAGAGAACATTTTCCTCCAAACTGAAATTCTGCTCTTTGGGAAAAACACCAACTGTCCAAACCTAAACCTCTGAATCACAGATGTGGTATATAAAATCTCTCTGATATAACAGAAAGCTGATGAGACATCTGGTTATAAAACTGTTGTGGATGAGATGGGCATAGGACAAAGTCGTGCTGCCGGTACTCAGGCATTCTTATGTGGCAGATATGTGAACTAGCAAGGTAACTAGTAGAGGTAAATGAAGGTTTCCAGAAGCTTCACAAACACATTATCAAAGGTGTGCAGGAAATCTTGCTCAGACACAATGACTGAACTGCATATGGAGGGAAGATGTATCAAAGTGGAAGAGTTAAGAAAAGACCCATGAGGGGTGGGGGAGATAGGGGTCCTGCCCTGTGCTGGGCAGCATAATTCGCTCTTCATTACTACAAGTGTGGGCTGTGGGCCAACAGCATGTGCATTATCCAGGACCTTGTTTGAAATACAGAATCTGAGGCTTCACTCCAGACGCACTGTACACAATTCTTGAGTTTAACAAAATCTACAGAGGATTCATCCACTCATTAAAGTTTGAGAAACACTAGTGTCATACACTGCTTCCCAAATGTGTCTCAATAATGGAATCATCTGAAAGCACAATTCTTGGGTACGACCTTGAGACGTGAATCAGAAGATTCGGAGGAGCCTGAGAATCTACATTCTGTGTGTGTGTGTGTGTGTGTGTGTGTGTGTGTGTGAGGAAGACTGTCCCTGAGCTAACATCTGTGCCAGTCTTCTTCCATTTTGTATGTGGGATACGGTCACAGCATGGCTTGATGAGTCCATGCCTGGGATCCGAACCCACGAACCCCGGGCCACCAAAGCAGAATGCGCAAACTTAACCACTACAGGTGGCCCCTGAAAATCTACATTTTTAACCATCGCCCTTGATGATCCTTATAATAAAGTAAGTATGACAAAGTTGGAAGATCAAGAGCTTCGTGGTCAGAGAGAACTGAGATTGGTGCTCAGTCCTGCCACCAACTGGCTGGGCATCCTTGAAGAAGCTATTTTTCCTCTAAGAGCTGCCTTGTCACACATCAAATGGGGACACAGCACTCCTCTGCAGATTTAATATGAAGACTAGAGAGGCAATCACAAAGCAGGATATAAAGGCTCCACACTTCTGCCTTTCATTAATAGGTGTGAACAGAAGGTGGCTATTAGCCATGTTGTCGTCTCCCATTTAACACCTCAATTTTGTCCTCTGAAAAATGGGGGTGTTAGGTATGGTCTAGGATTCTTTTCATTCATAAAATGTATCTTTACTGAGTAGAAGGCAGGTTCTAGAAACAAAGATGAACTCACAGCCTAGTGGGAGAGTCAGGTAGGTGAACAGGAATATTATAATAGAAACAGAACTTTTGTTCACAAATGAATCATTTCATACTTTCAGATAATGTTTTGGTTAGCTTGTGGGGGAAAGAGATCAAAGCTGCTATTTAATAGCATTAAAATAATCATTATTTCTTTCACATATGCTAACCCAGGCAGAAAGGAGAGCGCTTTCCAGAGCACTGAAAATAGAAGCTTCTCGCAGAGACAAAGGTTTCCTCGTGACTTCAATTGTGGCTGTAAATTAGCCCAGGAGAACACCCCAAACTGTAGCAAAATTATGACCTTATTTAACGTAGGTGCTTTATCAGCTCATCCTTTCTGTCAGTTCTTTCCAACCTGGTGTTTTTCACTCTCCATTCTCCTGTATTAGCCTCTGTTTTATAACAGCTGGAGAATATTTGTCCTCTGGCGGTGGAGCCACCCATCGACACACGCCCCACCCTCCTGAGGCTCAAAGCTGGGACTTCCTAATTGAATTCCCCCCTTCAGGAGCACAAGGTCATGGGATCAATGTGCTGTCAGTGGAGGCTAGGCTCAGGGCATGCTGGCCTCCGGGCATCATTTTAGTCTCTCCACGCTCCCATCTCACAGCACCCCTCGGTCCAAAGCCTGGGGTCTGTTGGTTTAATGAAGTCCTCTGTCGAAATAATAAGTCCGTTCCCTGATGTTTGCTATAACTGCATTCCTGATGGGTTTAAACAAGAAAGTCATCTCTGAGAAACTAGGAAGCCACCCTGTTTTAGGAATCTTACCACTGTTCTCCAGTTTCTGATATCTACCTGTCACTGTATATGCTGAAGTGCCAAATCCCACCCGACCCATTATAAGATAAACTCTACATGGTTCCCATACTTTGACCTTGTGTGGGCCTCACAGGAGCTCTGCTAGAGAAAAGACAGACTTTTTCGTTGCGAAAATGTAGGACGTTTTGCTTGAATATGCCAATAAGTCTCTTTAAACATAGCTCCCTTACACTCTCCTTTAATAATAGCTCCCTTACGTTCTTCTTGAATAATTCAACAATGATCACTGATGAAGGCATCCTTGGATAGATATCTTCAATTGGTTAAGAAAACTTCATTGCTGGAAAATCTTTTCTTACACCTAAGTTGTTAATAAATTAATTTTAGCTTGTAGCTATTAAATGATCTTTGTAGATATTTCATATATCTAGATGAAAATTGTCAATTAATTTTGGATAAAGAATAAGAATCTTTATTTCATAATTTAATCAATGTGACACTTAGGTTTGAAAAAATCATACTCTTGTCTACTCTTTCCACTCACCGTAAAAATTCAGAGTTTGAGCGAATGGAATAAAAAATCTTATCATGTCCTGATATGTTTTGAGGACTATCTGTACACAAGACAGAAAATAATTCAGAAAAGAAGTGATCAATTGCATAAAGAATTTACAATATGAAACTGATTCTTTTTTCTTTTTTTTTTAAGGAAGATTACCCCTGAGCTAGCATCTACTGTCAGTCCTCCTCTGTTTTTTTTTGCTGAGAAAGATTGGTCCTGAGCTAACATCCATGCCCATCTTCCTCTACTTTATAAGTGGGACACCTGCCACAGCATAACTTGACAAGCGATTCCATGTCCACACCTGGGATCCAAACCAGCACACCCCGGGCTGCTGACACGGAACGTGAGTACTTAACCGCTGTGCCACCGGGCTGGCCCCAAAACTGATTATTCTTAATTGCATCTAAAATACTTTTAAAATTTCTTCCCTGTGGTTTGAAGGGAATCTTCTCCAGTAGCAGCTCAATGCTCCATCAGTTTGTTGGCAAGCACGAGCAGGCTTCAAAATGAGAAATGAGTAGGTTCTTATCTTCCCAAATGTAAATTTATATGCTACTTCCTCTCAGAAGCTCTCCCTGACTTCAGGGCCATTGGAGTTTGGAGTCTCCTATGCAGATACAAGCTATTCATTTATAGATTACATAGTCTGGATGATATAGATCCTTGAACTTGTCACATTGAATTGAAGTAAAAAATGCCAATCTCAACACTCTCTCCTATGAGTTTTTCTGAGAACATTCATCACTATATTCCTACCACCTTCTATTCTACCTAGAACATTGAATACGCTCAATGAACACTGGTGGAATGATGGAAAAAATGGAAAAAATTGCCATTTACTTTTTAGCGTATGTAGGATAAGACTAAATATATATTCTATGCCGCTCAGATATGACATATGTATCTACAAACACATTCTATGTCACTCACATATGACATGTATCTCTAAACAAGATATTCCCTGAACAAAATTTAATGCTTTCATTTTTTTTTTCCTTTTCCTTCTTCTAATTTTATCTTTCTCATTTTTTAAAAACTTGCACAGGGATTTTGTATGTAAATATACTTGATGGTGATACCTCCTGTAAGTTTACCAGTAAGGATTTCCCTACTATCCCAAGAGTAAGCTGTGGTGCCCAGTGATGCTCAGCGTTGCCCATCATGGAATCTTATCACACTAGATTGTATTGACTTCATGGTGCTCCAAGTTCTGTGAAGGAAGGAACCATTTTCTCTTGTTTACTACTGAACCCCAGTGCCCTGCATGATGCTGGACACCTAGTAAGTATACTGTATATGTATATGTTTGTGCATAGGACTGATCTGGCTTCAAGCTGAGTTTTCCTGGTATTCATAAAACCACTGGAATAGCCATAATCATAAAAAGATAGACAGAGTTGTAGAGACACACTCCAAGATAAACCAAAAATGCTGTCTATGGCCTCTTTCTATAAAACAAGGCGAGCTTGGTCCTCCTGCCACATTTTCAGTTTTCACAAATAATAGCTAGGCATGTAGGTAACCAAACAGAACCTTAATTGGATGCTGACGTGTACTTCCACAGAGTTGGGGTACAGTGGGGAGAACGCCTGGCTCTGGCAGCCCCCTGCTCAGCCTTCTCATCCAGAACCTGCCAGTACTTACTGACTCAAGGAACTCTCTGCTGACTGGAGGGAAGAGGGGATAACGATACAGAGGTTGCACAATCTTGTGAAATTTATATTAAGAAAAACACACACTACTTATGGTGGTCTGCTTTTCTGTGATTTTGAATTTTGTCTGAATTACAATTAGGGCAGCTATACGTCCTATTTAGCTTGGGGCATTCCTGGTTTATGCTCATTTTGCGGAAGAAATCATTAAAACTTCTCATTATATCCCAAGTGCTTTTGGGTTTGGATGACAATCTATATGGTCGCTCAGGTTAGAATTTGTTGGGGAATTTAAATATGTATATATTAATTGTATATAATTATAAATATATATGTAAGTATATATGTTTAATCTATTTTGAGATAACAAAATATATCCAGAGTTTAAAGGTTTTATTTTTGAGCAGTTGGGTTTTACGGTTCCTGGACCACTGGCATTTTAGGGGAGAAGGGTTAGTGGAGAAATTAAGTGTGTGGACCCTGGAATCAACCTGCTGAGTCTGAGTTGTGCTCCACTGCTGAGTAACGTGAGAAATGCTCTTGGCCTCAGTCATTGCCTCCTCCCTTGCAGGGCTGTGGTGGGTGCCTGACACATAGGAAGGACCATATACACATTACCTAGGCTTACGCTTTCAGCTAGATGTGCTGATGCTCTTCCGGTTTGGGAGTATAATTTATCTGAGCTACACAAAGACTGACATTTTGTTATATGCATAGACAATGTGATTTGGTCCTTAAATCATCCTTTGTATCTTTTAAAAGATGCTCAGACCAAAGTGAATTGGAAAGAAATACCATCCTCAGGAAGGCAAAATGCTGCTGGATGCTCTAAAAGTTAGGCCAGAGCACGAGGCTTTTTGTAGCAAATGGGCAGACTGCAGAAGGGTGTTGCAAATTCCCTCACTGCCCCAGAAGAATAGGCAGAAAGTCCCAGCCGTCTTTGTCCTGTTTTGAGAAGATTTTACTGGAACGCTTGATGAGCCTGCATGGCAGGGCCTGTGGTACCCTTGTTAATGTTGTTTACATCTGGACAGAGAGACCATCTCTAGCTAAAATGATATTTAGGGATATGTTCTTAATTTTTAAAATAAACTTGATGAAACAATCCATAATCCACTAAAATTTCAGTGTATGCCATCACATCTTCCTAGCTCTCTGCAGGAGCTCCCAGATGCTTCAATGGCAACAGGATTGCAGACCCCACAGGCAGGAAGCAGGTGCCTGGGGTGGCAGATGCTGTGGAGGAGCTACCTTAAGAGTCTACAGCTGGAATGGCCTGAACAGTCAGAGGGGAGGAGAGTTTTCTGCCTACTCGTCTCTTCAGGAATTGTCAACAGGGAGAATTCCCCTTACAAACAGTGGCCTCTCGTCTCTGCTTTTCTCCTAAGTCTACTGCTTGAATAACTGAATGACTCTTGATTCTGCAAAGTGTTCTTGCCCGTCATCAGGTAATACTGTGTTTTTAAATAACTCCTCTGGGTCAATTTTCTTTAATTCCCATCGGTGGGTCTAAGTTCAACTCTGAGTACCCAGAAGCCCTGCTATAAGCCAACCGATCTATAAGCAAAGCTGTGAAGATAAAAGAGCAAAACATGCCCCCTACTACATTATCCCGCACTCACTCCACTCAATTCACTGTCTTCATACCAGACCAGTGCACTTGACTCAGCTCAATCCTCACAATGGTCCTGTAAAGTAGTGACATTATTCTCCCCACTTAAGAGATAAGAAAACTGAGTCACAGACAATATGTGTAATTTGTCAGTCTGCTAGTTAGTGGTGGAGCATTGAATCTAACCAGCCAGGCCAAACAGGAATCACTAGGAAAAGCAGAAGAGGAAAAGATCTAGCATTTTTTTTTAAAGAATCTGCAAAGAAATAAAAATATGTTTTTTAAATCATCTTTCTTTCTTTCCAAGTTAAGAAATTTTTTAAGGACATTGTTTTACAGTGAGATCTTCCTGAAATAATCAGAGTAGTGTCAGGAGAGTTTGATGAAGTGATAAGTGATATGTAAATGTTGAGTTCTATTGGCTGAAATAACACTCCAATAATTCTTAAGGTGTTAATTAACAGTAACCTCATTATAAGGGGTTAGGGACAGACCAAAGACCTGTTAGGTCACTATTACATAATTACAATACCTTGCATTTATATAGCACTTTAGTAAATTTTTACTTTCTGCCAAAAAATGGTCAAAAGGCCATTTTATTGTTTCACACGATTATAAAATCAAGATCTCTTTTACATTAATTATACAATTATAGCAAATTACATTGATGTGGTAGGAAAGGGAAAACATTTTTTTCTTCCCCAAGCTATAACTATTCAGCAAGAAGAAAATTTTGGAAAATCAAGAGTTGGTTGCAGAATTGGAAAAATAATAGAAAATAGCTAATTTGTCAGAAATTAAAATTAGCAGTAAGAGATCTGAACCTTCAGAATATACACTGGAATTCTTGTATGTGCCATTTCTCCCCCTTCAAATCTAAGTCTCCTCTTAATGAAATAGGCAGGTGATACCCACTCACGGTTTCTCTCACAGGATTCCGGCAAACGTGCTTTTGCTTGGTTTCAACATGAGTAGAAGAGAGGAGGAAGAAAGGACTATCATACACATAATGCCTGTTGTGCATTTGGAGTTTTCTGCATGTTGCTACTTTCAATTCTTGCATCAACATTTTGAAGCAGCCATTAGTCTCTCTCTCTCTCTCTCCCTCTCTCTCTTTTATTTTTTTTTTAAATAAAGGACTGAAGTTTCTGGTTAAACGACTTGCAAAATAACTCCCACAACCAATATAAAGCTGAGCAGAAATTTTAACTCAAGTCTGTCCATCTCGAACACCTACATTTGCCTCACACACCTCTTACCCCAAGTCACATACAAAAGCTATTTTAAAAAAATTTATGTCAATTATTTGATACAACAAAAAACCAAAATCATAACAACCACCTCGAGAAGCATCATTTCATGCTTCAGTTAGAGCTGCCAGTCAAGTTAGAAAACATTAAAATAACATAACAACCTTTAGCTGTTAACTAAAATGTGTGTTATTATTCTTCACCAAGTGTGCTTTTCTGGTCTTCTGCTTGATATTTAAGCAGCCCTTTTAGAACACCAGCTCAAGTGTAATGCAACAGGTTAAACCAGAAAAAGTAAACTGCTGCCTACGTGTCATGAAGTTGCAAAATTATGTTTGTTGTTCTTTGTTTATTTTCTTTTTGAGCTAATGAGACTATTTTGACAAACTTCATCCACAGAGAAGGAGACGGATGGTTATAACTTGGCTCAGTTCTTCTTGTCAAGGGCAATCAGTAGATTGCCTGTTATGAACATGGCTATTGCAAATTACTCAAATTATGTCTGGGCTGTGGCAAACATTCTCGTGATGAACTTGAAATTTGTCTGATGAACTTGAAAATTCTTCTAAGGCTCTTCCCCTTATTACTCAATTGCATCCTGCAGGGACGCTGTCACTGGGACTGAATTTATAGATATCTCAGCCTCCATCCTCTCCGTCAATGGAGTTCAAGGACATGTGCCAAAACTCCATTTCTACTCTGACTTACTTCAACCACAGGGAATCATTAGCTTTCCCTCTTACAGCACTTACTGGAGAACCATTCGACAAAGAGGACCCTCACTGGGTGGAAGAGCTAATGGACCTCCAAAGTGACAGAGCAAAGCACTGACAGGGATGGTCCTGTCATTCTATATAGTATATTACAGGGATATGGTTACATCGTGCCCAATCAATTTTCTTAAAAATGGAAGCTTTGATTTCAAAACCTGCCCGGGCTGGAGTAGACACAATAAGGAAGAGCAGCTCATTTTAGAGCTGGCTCTACTTTCAATAGCTTCCCCCACTCACCAATTCCTCGGAGCAGTTTACACAGATTACTGCACAGTCCATCAGCCCTTTTCTGCAGTGTTGCCTCGGGCAATGGTTGCTATTGGACAGCTTTCCTCTTTTTCCAGCAGTTCCATATTTCAAATGATTCAAGTGCCTTCAAGTGAATCGCTTGATAGATTTCCAAAATGATCACTACAGGTCAAATTCAGCTCAAATGCTATCCTTTACAAAGTTTTGAAAATCCATTTTTGCAGCAAAGCTGGTGAGACATTTAATGAGCTTCAATTCAGAAGAGACACATCCTTTTAACTTGAATTTGGCCTCAAAACATCTTTGGCTCATTCAAATGCCTCGCCAGCTTTTCAGTTACAATGGCTACTTCTTTCACTCCAGTGAAATATACTGTAGATAGCACCACTGCCCAATTTCTTTAAATTTCTGGAAATGGTATAAAAATAAATATGATATAAAATATCCTGCTTTTATTCAGAATATTTTGATTCAAGGAGTTTGTGCTGACTTGCTTGCCTTCTCTACCCAGCTTCATTTTGTATAGGATGTGTCTTATTATTATTTAATCTAATTTTTTAATGTTTCAAAACACACAAATTCAGCACAGAAAACGGCTGTAAATGAATTATAAATAAAAGAAGGAGCAGACACATTCAAATAGACTTGGTAGTGTTTAATCTAGAAAGGCTTATTTGAAAGTTCTCTTATCAGTCTAATAATAGTGAATTATAATGACCTCCACTTAACAAACACAGGGGCACTAACTTTCTTAATAGAAAGATGAGAAGCAGGGGTCAAGTGTCTTAACCAGGTGTTACATAAATGAAATATATGTGCAATGCAGAGATCTTAGAAAATTCGTAAGGTTCAAAGAAGAAAATAGTTGTAAATCCTATTAGCCTTTCTGTTTAGTTCTTTTTCCAAATTGGATTACTATTGTGTGTTCAACTTTACAATTTTATATCATGATTTTCACACATAACATGATATAATGAGCATTTTCATATCTTTAAAATATTTTGAAAATTCCAGTTATATTGAATTCATCCAAGTATAGGTCTATTCTAATTTATATAGACATGTAAATTCAGACGCTTTTTTCAAAGCTATTACAAATAAACGTGTGGTGAACAGGCTTAGAAATAAATCTACAGATACATTTTTGTAGGCTAAATTCTCACAAACAAGATAAAGATTTTGAAACTTACTGAAATAGTATTTATAGAAAATGTTCAACAAAGTATGCTCCCTCAAGTGGTGAAAATGTTTTTACTGAACCCTCACCAAACTATTTGTTTTGAAAGAATCATTAAATATTTGACAGGCAAACAAAAAAAAAATAATTTGCATTTCTTTGTGGGGCTGAGTTTTTTTCACGTTTCTTGGTTATTTGTATTCCTTTTTAAGGGAAGAGGATGTTCCTCTCCTTTGCCCATTTTCCTACAGAGATTTAATTCCAGTGTTACTCTTAACTGGTTTATGTGACTTCTTCAGAATATTGATTCTTTGCCATATTTGTTGTATGGTTTACTGATAGTTTATGTGCCTTTTTAATTTTGCTTCAGATTTACGATATTCAGATCACAAAACACCGTTGCATCAAGGCTGTTAATATTTTCCTTCCATTACTTTTAGCTCAAAAGCTCCGTTCAAAGGCTGATGTAAATAAATATGCAATTTTATTTCCTGTTTTCATTAAGACTTATTTGTTTATTAATTACATTAACTCTTGAATTCATTAAGAACAACTTTTTCTATAGAGAAAGAAGTAAATTTCAACTTTGATTTGTTTTACCTGATAGTCATTCAAATTTATTGAACAGCCAGTCCCTCCATTTTCCCCCCACTTATGGATCATTCCTTATTCTACACTAAGTTCCACTATACACCAGGTTCTCTTTTACTAACCAGTCAGCCAATGATCTTTGACTTAGGGTGTATTTTACATTCGGCAAGATCAAGTTTGCCTGTTTATTTATTGCTCTTGAAAATCTCTCTGTCAAGCTAGTTTTAGGATCATGGTATTCATCTTAAATTTTCATTAGTTTGCTCTATAATTTCTAATTATTCACAGCACAAGTGAGTTTTTGAAAGATCTGAAAATGCACTGAAGAAAGAGAAAATAACAAAAGGAAAAACATGCAACTTATCCCAAGATTCACACTGTAACATTTTAGAGCACAGACAATTTCCAGATCTCTACCAGAGGTGATCGGTAGTTTTTCTACAATTCTTCCTTGGCAAGTAAACAGAAAAGTGTTAGAGCACGAGAAATTTGTTACAACACAGGAAAATGTTTTCGATTCAGTTTATCATACGATTGTAATTTATTTTTAAAATACTAGAAGATATAATCTTAATTTCTCTCATATTTGAATATAGAAAGGAAACTATTTAAGGGGCTAGATTCACATACACCCCTTTACATTGCTGCTCCGATATACTAAGTTACGTTTTATTTAACTTGAAACATAATCCAGTTAGGAACGTATCACAAAGATACCCCTGGTAGTAAGCCACTCATGCAAAAATACTTCCCTTGTTTTCCTTATTTTCCTAACCATGAAGTATTTCACTTACTCCAAGTGCATCACAAAGTGCTCTAGCCATTTAATTCCTAAGTCCACTTCTGTATGTATTTACTCAACAGTATCTTGGCGATCGGAGGTGCTCAATAAACATTTGTCCAATGGAGAAGAATGAATGAAACATACTACTTAAATGGAGTGCAGTACAAAATGGCACATTATTAATAACTACCCTGGAATTCTTAGAAACAGCTGATGCAGGAACAAATGTAAGCCTTTTATTCACAGCAAAGCCTGGGAGATGAATAGCTGGCACATGCGATGTGTGATTTATTCATACGCACTAGTAGGAGATTTATAGGCATCTATTAACCTACTTGAGCTCCAGTTCTGTCTTAGGCTGGTCTTTTGTCATGATTAGCTATGTTGTGACTCTGTGTTAAATAACAGGTTGTCTGTGCTGAAATATGCGAGAAATATGAAGACAGAAGGCCAAAATTATTATACATGTGCATCATTCCAGCTAAACCACAGATATATCTCTACTCGTACATGTTAAAAAACTTGGACTTGTACCTCTGCACAAAAGCAAAGGAATTTTATTTCTGGACCTGAAATCCATTGTCATAGACTGGATTGTGTCTCCCACGTAATTCCTATGTTGCAACCTAACCTCCAGTAACTCCGAATGAGACCATATTTGGAGAAACGGTCTTTATACAGGTAATTAAGTTAAAATAGGGTCATTAGAGCAGATTCCAATCTAATATGACTGGTGTCCTTGTAAGAAGAGGAAATTTGGACACAGACATGTACGGGGGAAGAAAACAAGAAGACACAAGGAGAGGACAGCCATCTAATAAGCCAAGGAGGGAGGGCTGGAAGGATAGGCTACCCTCATGGCCCTCAGAAGGACACCACCTTGCTGACATCCTGACCTCAGACCGCCAGCCTCCAGAACAGTGAGAAAATACATCTCTGCTGTTTAAGCCGCCCAATGGGTGGTACTTTGTTACAGTGGCCCTAGCAGACAAATACGCCTGTGAACTAACAGAAAACACAGTGAAGCTCTATGCTGAAAAAGACTAAGAATTATTTTGTTCTTTTCAACATTAATCTTAGTTTTGGAAGGGATAAATCCTACATGCCTGCATACTGTGATGGGCCTGGTCTGACCTTCCTTGGGGTAAAACACCACCAGGAAAGTCACTGCTTTAGGGGAGACATTGGATTCATCCCTTCATCAATCAATTGGGAATTCAAACTTAATTCATGGCATCGCCCACTTCCATATGATGCCCCCCTTGGATCGGTAGAGATAACTTGAACTTATGGTTGACTATCTAGAAGAGCATGGGTGCACTTCACGCTTACAACGGGTAGCTCACTCTTGGCTTAGAATGGGTAGCTTCGCTCTTATTAAAGTCACTGTGTGCTTTCTACCTGTGTCTGCACTGACCTAATAAATAGAGCAAGAGAAGACGTATGTGGGGAGGATCCATTTCCACTCCCCTCCATCACCAACCCAGGTTCACAGAGGACAGAAATGGGGTGTAAAGTTCATAAATGGGGTAAATGTAACAGCACTGCCCGAGTCACAGGAAAGCCACCATGTCAAGGGCGAGGAAAGGTTGCAGTTCTGTTTATGCTGACAGAGCATACAGGGCAACTCTTACACAGATCTGCTGCTATCATTTATCAGCTCTTCCAAGCCTGGGCTGCTGCCCACTGGGGCAACTCATCCTCCCTGTGGACTGCAGCTGGCTCTTGGAGCCAGGCAGGATTTGCTGACATGTTCTAAGTTCATAAGGATAAGATGCATTTTTCTGTGCCATCTTAATAAAACAACATGGAATAAAGTTTTATAATAACAGTAGAGAGAGGAAAAAAGTCATAATTTTCCATGCTTCACCATTCAGAATAATTAATTTAATAACTGTGTCATACGAGAAGAGCAAATAAAGAGCAGGAAAGGGGTGTGGATATATATGATCACTGAAGCATATAAAACTGCAAGGAAAAACAAATTACCAGGGTAGTGCTGGAAAGAAAAGCTCGGTGGGAAATATTTTTTGGATGCTAATTTGATTCTTCTTCTATGCAGTCTTAAAGCTGCAGTGTCTACAAACACACTATTTATTTCCACTTGTTTTCATGTTTAGCATTTATAGAAACTTATGTCTCTAAAAACCAATTAAACACCTTCCTGATCTCTACTAGACATTTTCTCTAGGTAATTCTCTACCTAGACTGTAAAAGGACTATGATTTCATTGACAACATCCTGCTGGACAGTGTTTCATCATCAGAGGTGTTCCAAAAAGTATTAAATTAATAAACGAGGGTAGAATCAAAATAAGATGCAGTTTTCTCTGGACACGGTTACAATTTCTGGGGTTCGGTTCACAATAAACATTGAGACGCTAGATCTTCGACGAGCAGCCTGCTTTGTCATCCCACAGTTTGTGGGGTTGCAAGAAGGGACTATTTTTGAGTATGAGCATTTGTGTCTCGTCCCACACCAGAAATATAGACTTTTAAGCGAGTAAATAATTATTTCTATTAAATCAGTAGATACAAAAGTAAGTCTTCCTTTACTTGGTCAGGTAAAACTCAGATCTTATCTACTGTAATTCTATTTATCTTCTTCAATACTAAAGATACCAGCCTTGTCCCTTCTCATATTAAGACTCTTGATTCTGCCATTCAACAGCTGGACCACATGCATCACATTCTACTATATTCCCAGAGCTCAACACCCCCTCCCACTTCCAGGTCTCTCTGATGGCCTGCCCTTAGTGCCAGTCACCACAGTGGCTTACCGACAGTGTTTATGGGATCCAGTCAGGGTTTCGATCACAAAGCACTCGCCATCATTGAGACAGTATGCAAGGTCCTTGTCTCGGCAGGGTTTGAAGTGCTCGGATCGCTCGGTGGAATATGTCGTCGTGTCTGTCAAGGGAAGCACACAGACAAAGGCTGTTAGCAGTGCATTCTGACACCACCAGCTCCTGTCATTGGCCTCATGTGGTTATTGGGGCCTTCTCATGGGCACTGACCCTGAAGACTCTAGACAGATAGAATGGACCCTCCGCTGTACTGAAAAAACGCAACTGGGTATGACTACTTTATAGACTGAATGTTGGTGTCTTCCCAACATTCATATATGGAAACCTGTTCCCCAGTGTGATGGTATTAGGAGCTGGAGCCTTTGGGAGGTGAGTAGGTCATTACGGGATTAGTGCCTTTATAGATGAGATCCAGGCGTGCTCCCTCGCCCATTCCAGTCATATGAAGACATAGGAAGAAGATGGCCCCTTATGAACTGGGAAGTCCTCACCAGACTGAATCTGCAGCCACCTTGGTCTCAGACTTCCTAGCCTCCAGAACTGCGAGAAATACATTTCTGTGGTTTATAAGCCACACAGTCTATGGTGCCCTGTTATAGCTGCCCACACTGACTGAGACAACCACGGCATTCAGTTGTCTTATGTCTCCACTGGCTTTTAACAATTGGGATCACTCCAGATGAGCCTCATCTAAGGACACGTTAACAGTAAAAGCTGATGATCCTACAGTCAAACACCTCAAATTCACTTTCATTAATTTTAGTTTTAACAAACACAGTATATGAAGGATTGAAACAACACTCGTTTCCCTTTATTGTTGCCAAATATCATTAAACATCTAATCAATGTATATTGTGACTGTTCTGTGGAAACCAATGTCAGTTCTGTGTGTGCGTTTTTGTTTTTGTTTTTTAGTTACAGCTGTAATTGGCTAATAGCTAAGCCAATTATTCGTCACTTTCTCCTTTTATTATGTAATTAAAATGCAGATGTTCCAAATTCTGAAACAGAATCTCAAATGTGAAGACCGTTTCTGGTAAATATTTAACAGGACCAAATTATTGTCATTTTTTATCATTGTCCTAAACATGTATTTTTTAAAATCATAATTACTTACATTTTTAATGTAAGTTATATGTCTATATCTGCTTCGCAAACATGAAACTAATCATAAGAATGTGCCATCTCCTGGACACAGACTCTGTTGTCACCTGTAGACATCCTGGCTTCAGAGTTTTAAGCAACTAAAGTGTTAGTACCAATTCCACTGCGACATTAAAGAGAAAACATATTTAAAAAGTCAAAGTGAATAAATGATTCACCATTTACGGTCTTTTAATTTCCTTTTGATAGGTCTAGATACATAACAATGATCAACAGCATGGGCTATTGGACCAGCTTACCACCTGGAGGTCACCATGCCCCTCATCCAAACTGAGGTGATAGTGATTGTTCTAAAAGGATGTTCACTCATGTCCTTCCCACATCTAAAAATCCTCAATGGGCCCCATTCCTACAGGAATTACTCCAAATTCCTTAGTGGAGCAAAGAAGGACATAGGCCATGAGGGATTTTGCCTGTCTAGTATCATCTTCCTGCACCCTGAAACACATAACTTAATGTCCAACTATTTTTCTATTTCCCCAAACACCAAGAACTGGCACGCTCCTCCTTCCTCCTGGACCACTCTTTCATTGCTGGAAGACATCCAGAAATCCTTCAGAGCTTACAGCATCTTCCCCGTGTGTCCCCCTAGCGCCTTTTATTGCTTGCATCCCTACATTCAGTGCTGTGAGTAACCGCTTGTTCACATGTTTATCTGGTTCTTTAGTCTGTGACTTCCTTGAAGTCAGAGGTTGAGCGTTCATCAGAACTGGAGCTCAGTAAAAAAGTCTTCAATAAACGTGATCACTCCAACACACTAACAGTTTAAATCCATTGATGAAAGACATGATCATTAAAGACATTATAATCATATAAAAGCTAGTGCATACCTTACAACAAACAAATTCACATTAATGTTATCATTCTAGCATACCCATTTTAATATTGGTGAATATTGCAAAACCAAACATTGTTTTCAGATTCACATGAACTCTTGCTCATACACTACTCATACACTGTGAGCATCAAAAAATCCACTTCTAATCTCCTCTTTCTTGTTGGTACAATGGGAACTTCATTTTTCCACTTCAAAATATCTGCCTATTAATACTCTGGCATGAAATAAAAGCTGTACAAAACAGATGCATTTTCTGTTTTCCAGGACATCTCCTCTATGGGGAAGATTTGTTATTTAAGACAGTATGTGATAAACAGTTACACAGAATCAACCCCTCTTTCTATGGAAAATGTTTAAAATTCAAGAGCTCCCAGCACAAAACTCAATATGAAACACCACACAGTTGATGGCTACTCTGACTGCTGGAGTATATTAACTCATGATCAGTTAGTTAAGTTTTCCTTTAATATCTTATTATGCGTTTATTGATGTTCACTGATCATTCCTCTAAGAACAGCTTTTCATTAACATAACCTACAGCATAAAAAGTGAGATCCTTATTTTACAATCAGTGGTTTTAACAAGCTGGAGACTCCAACAGCAATACAATGGCAAAGCAATTACAATCAATTAGTTTCCATCTGACAACTACTGTCTCCAGTGGTTACCGTCCCATTCTACCAACTGCTTTCCCCATCACGTTATCATCTATCAGCACATCACACAGGATCAGACCCAGGTAAACGCGTCTGCAAAAGTCCAAGGAGGGAGACTAGAGAGATGTCAAGCTTATCATGTACTCAGGTGTTCCATTTCCACAGCTTAGTGAATCTCAAAATTAATTTAAAATATACATGCTTATCCATCGCAATGCCTTGACTGATTTCAAAGAAAACACCATTATCAAGTATTGTTAATAACAATATGATCAACAATAATAGAACGTTGGGCTGGATCCTTCTATAGGTAAATAAGCTGCAATTATCAATAAATTTGAATTCTTAGAATTTACCCAAGCTTTTCACTATGTGGTATCCACATAGCACTACTCATGTAAAATTACAGAGGCACCGGGCAAGGTAAACAAAATCCACCATGAGGTGAAATTTTACACTTGAAAGGCATCACACCAAATATGTGGATGGAAAGAGGAAAATTCCTTAATGAAACCGCTAGGTTTCTATGCTAACTCTAAAACCACCTACAGATTTTTGTAAAATACAGGCGCCCCTTGGGACCCACAGAGGAGTGGTTCCAGGACCTCCAGCAGAGGCTAAAATCCACAGATGCCCAAGTCCCCACAGTTGGCCCTCCATATCTGCGGTTCTGCACCTGCATATTCAACCAACTGAAGATCGAATTAGCACCCTCATACTGTATTTTCCAACCACAGCTGGTTGAATCACAGATGCAGAAGCCACCAGAGGGCCCACTGTAAATAATAAGTATATTGTGTCTAAGTCATTGTTAGTCAGGCTTTCTGTTACTTAAAACCAAACACAGCCCAATAAAGAGACAGTAATGATTTTGGATGACGACCTCCAATATTTGAATATCTCACTTTAAAGTGCGTGTATGTACATATGGGTTTAATTTTTTTAACATATAAGATGGATTACCAACATATAAAATGGAACATAAATAAAAATGAGATAAAAATCAAATATGAGGTGTGATTCTTTATTTTCTTTCTGTGCCCTAAGGCGACACAGTGCACTCCAATATATTCAGCTGAGTATTTTGTTCTGAAGGGGAAATGGGACATCTGTGAGAATGGGTAAGATCTAACTCCAGACTATAAATGTTATAGCCATAAATAACCTGGAGAACCTTAACAATAAAGTAGAGAACTCTCATCTGTAAATTATCCAACATTTTTTAAACCTGTCTATATTTTTTAAAACTGCATCACTAGGGGCTGGCCCGGTGGCATAGCAGTTAAGTTCCCATGTTCCACTTGAGCAGCCCAGGGTTTGCCAGTTCAGATCCCAGATGTGGACCTGTGCATGGCGCGTCAAGCCATGCTGTGGTAGGCGTCTCACATATAAAATAGAGGAAAATGGACACAGATGTTAGCTCAGGGCCAATCTTCCTCAGCAAAAAGAGGAGGATTGGTGGCATATGTGAGCTCAGGGCTAATCTTCCGCCCCAAAATTAAAATAAAATAAAAAAACTTCATTTCTTCTAAGATAGTCTAATTCACTAAGCTGGCTACAGTATATGGTACTATTTTGTCATATATTTAAATTTCAAGGAGCACTTTCTGTTTCTAGGAAGGTAATCTGGTAAATAAATTTGTTATAGAGCTCTTCATTGTCTTAAAAAAATCACACGGATGAAGATCCCAGTAATGTAGCCAGGAGGGGCCTGATATTTCCATGAATTCCCATTTGTCCTTCACCGCTCTCCCTTGTTCCAGAGTACGTCAATGTCAGACATCACTCTCTACCTTATCAGCTCACGGACCTCCCATCTGACTGGACCTTGAGCTCCAGGGGGCACAGCAGGTGGATCTCTGGTCCACCAGCTTATGGGTGGCCTGATACAGAGGTGCATACAGTAGATGTGTATAGAAGAATGATCTTTTTATGCATGAACCTTTTTCTAAATATTCTATATTTAAAAGGGTGCATGCTTTTGTTATCATCATAAAAGAAAAACTTTACATGAACAAATGTTTAGAAGTTAGGACATGAGAAGAACTTCAAAAGGAACTTAGGGAAAATGTATAGAATTTTACGAGAGGAGGAAAAGATCAACTCCACAAGGTGGACGGGAGGGGAGGAGAAAAAAAATTGGGAAAGAAATTCTAAAAGAGAGAGAATGAAAGATAAAGGAATGGTAGGCTTAAGATGAACAGTGATGGTGCTAAGGATGGGGCTTTCAAGCACCACATACAAAGTTAAAGGTCTAAGGTCAAGGAAATGTAGCTGCTGGAGAAGGAATAGTGCCCATTCACTGGGACCACAGGGGCTATGCAATTATCCAGACCACTCATCTGGCACTTGTTATACATAGTTTAATGTGTTTTCTTATATTTTTATGGGTTTTGGTCTCTATCCCCAGGTAGGTCAGGGAGACGGCTTTGCTTTTAAGCTTTGTATTCTTTCCACATCGCATAGCACACACAGTACACAGTCAGTACAGTAATTAAATGCACAGTGGAAGGTAGAGGTGGTTAATCCATTAAAGGAAAAATGGGAAGAAAATCTAAGGCTGGAAGACAGAAATCCCAGCAGATTTTGCAATGACAGTTAATTTATTAACGAGTTAAAACGATGAGTGGTTTTCCCCTTAAGCACTGAGTTGAACCTGAATATTACTCATGGAGGTTTTCCATGTTGCCAGCACAACGCTGCACACTGTGGGAACACAGATTTTGTTGCAGGAACAAGAGTGCCAAATGGGCCATTACAGATAATAATTGCAATAGATAATCAAAGAAGGGGGAGGTTACAGTTATCTCTGAAGTCTTCCCAAAGGGTTGGCATTGGAGCCAGGTCTTGAATACGAGTGATTTAATTGGCACAGGAAAAAAAATTCTAGATATGAAGAGCAAGAACACCTGAGGAAGGAAAATGACAGGGCATGGCGTAGACCCTAAACACCTTCTTCACACTCCTGGCTTGCAAATGTCAGATTCATCAAGCAGTTTTTCCTTCCCCCACCGAGTTCATGACATGCCAATGCTCTAAGAGAAGATAAGAATCTGATTAAGCAATCTAAAAGCTTTCAGGATTAGCAAAATACGTTTACAGGCTAGAAGCCACTTAAATATGGTCTTCGACTCCAGCAGCATCTTTCCTGGCAGCCCTGAAAACGAAACCCACTGCCATATATTAAAATTCCCTGTTGAATCTTCCATTTATCAGGCACCCAGGAAGGAGTACTGGCATGAGGCTGAGTTATAAAATATTTAATGGTCAGGGAAAATTGCAAGAAGAATGCAGTGGTGTTTGAAAGGGAAACAAACCATTTCTCAGCTGGCAAGAGGCAAAGATAGCTGGGCTCCCACTGCCAGAGATCAGACAATTGTTCACTTTGCTGGCATGGGAGAAACGGGGAGTGTTGGGCAAGGAGTTTAAAAGTTCATTTGAGTCGTGGGGCTGCTGTGAGGACGAACAGCTCTTGATGTATTCTGGGGTCATTGATTCTCACAGCAAATGCACCAAAGACCCTTGTTAAATTTGCATGACATCCTACCACCTTCCACTTTGAAATCTTACTTTTAAAAACTGCTCCAGCTTAAATAAACCTGCATGAGACATAGTTCATTCAATGAAAAGGCACTTATTTGAGAACTGCGGCATTTATCCTAAAGCTGAATATATTTCCTTCCACCTGCACACACACGTGCCCATACAAACCGCTTTCAACTATAACAGTTACAACAGCGGGTACTGTCACTGGAGTCTTTGGCTTGCGCTAGGCTCTATGCTACATGCTTCATAGTCACCATCTCTGCTCCCCACATCACTCTACGGAAATGGTCCAGTCTATGTCACCAGCTATCTCTAAATACAGTGGATGTTTAAATATTTTTTTCTCATCTTGTTTGAACTCTCAGAAGCATCTAAGGCTCTCAGCCACTCCCACCTTCATGAAAAACCTTTCCTTGGCTCCTATGTTATCACGTAGTTTTGATTTTCCTCTTGCTTTTTCGTTTCTGCCACCTGTCTCATCAAACTTATTTTTAAAAGCTGGGTTACTTAAGGACTGGTCTTCAAATAACTCCTAACATATACTCAGCACTGTGCTAATACGCATTTTCCTTTAGTTATTTCTTTGGCATTAAAATAACACTATGAATTTATGCTATTATTTGCTATCTTTATTTTACAAATGGAGAAACTGAGTCTTAGAGATTTATGTCATGGACTCAAGGTCACGTGGCTCTTAGCTGGTAGCTTCTGGACTCAAACCAAGGCAGCCTGACTTGCTCCAATATACTGCTTCCCACAGGCCACATTTTTATGTCTGTTTTTTTCTTTTTTTCCATCTTTACTGATTCTCTAGCTGAGTGCTATGCCAGGTATGGTCCTCAGACCAGCTGTACCAGCATGACCTGGGAGTATATTAGTAATGATAATTCATGAGCCCCATCCGAGACGTACTGCATCAGCAACTATGGAGGTGGGTGGTGATTCAACAAACTCTCCTGGTAATTCTCATTCACACTAAACTCTGACAACCAGCTGCCTCGGGTGGAACTGTCTGATACCATCTACACGCCAATAATCTCAAAGTCCAGCCCAAACCCCTAGGTTCCTCTAAACTCAATCTTCCTACCTCTCCTCTCCTGAAGGACATCCCAAAGCCACCTAAAATTTAACTTGTAGAAAACGGAACTCTTGTTTTCCCTCCACAAAACTCTTCTTCCTTCAGGTTTCTTGGTCTCAACTAATTGATCTTGTTGTGCAGGCCAGAAGCCTAGCAGCCATCCTTCTCCTCACTCTCCATGTGAATCACCAAACACTGGTGATTCAGCTTCTTAAATGTAGCTGGAATCTACCCCTTCTTTCTACTTTATCTTATCTGGAACACTCCATATGGGCCTGTCTACATGCATGCTTGTCACCCTAAAACAAATTATCCACATTGCAAGTAATTTGCACAATGTGTGCAAAAACACATAATGATGGTCATTTCCTTCGGGAAAATCATTTAGTGGCTTTACCTGGCTCTTATGATGAAAACTAACGTCCTCCCAATGCCCGTCTGTCTCTGTCCTCATCTCATATATAACACTCGCCCCCGGTTTCGGTGCCTAGGCCACAGTTGTTCAAATGGTCCATCCCCTGAGGCCTGTGCACATGCTCCCCTCTGCAGGGGCCACCCCGCAGCCCACACACTCTCACAGTCATCTACAGATTTCATCCAGAGCACCTATAAGGAGACAACGAAACATTCAGCAAAAAATAATTCGCTTTAGGTATTTCTGTTCCCTGCAAAATCCCTCAGGTTTTACCGCCAAACACAGGGCTCTACTCATGGCACTTGCCCCGTTCAGGTCAAGGCCCTCCTCCCCTTGTGTTCCTCTCTTAGGCTTTCATTCTTTCAAGCAGAGACATTTTGACTGCTGCTGACAGTCTTGAGTTACAGATGACACACCAGATCTGGAAAGCCCAGCCTTTGAGCTGGCTTATCAAAGTCTAACAAAAATGAGTCTCACTCTGGGGGAGATTCTCAGGTTTACTGGTAGAAAGAATAAATTTTATTATTTTCATCTGTTTGTCCCATAGACTATAGGATTCTGGAAGACAAGAACATGTTTTTTTGTTTATCCGTTGTGTGTGTGTGTGTATGTGTATGTGTGTATGTGTATATACTGTGTTTCTGATAACTAGCCCATCAAGCTGCCCAATAGTTATTCAATAAATATTTATTGAATGAAAATATGCTATAGATTGAATGCTTGTCTCCCCCACAATTTGAATGTTAAATGGTATCACCCAATGTGATAGTATTAGGACCTGTGGCATTTGGGAGGTGATTAGGTCATAAAGGTGGAGCCCTCATGAATGGGATTAGTTCTCTTATAAAAGAGACCCCAGAGAGTTACCTTGTCCTTTCCACCATGTAACGTCACAGCAAGAACACAGCCATCTGTGAACCAGGAAGCCCTCAACAGATGTCAAATCTGCTGGCACCTTGATCTTGGATTTCCCAGCCTCCAGAACTGTGAGAGATACATTTCTGTTGTTAATAAGCCACCCAATCTATGGTATTTTGTTATAGCAGGCAGAGGGGAGTAAGACAGTATCCACACACCAACTCTGAATACAAACTTTTACCTATTAGAGATAAGAATTTTAGAATCCCATAGAGACTTCCTTCCTTCCAATGACACAGCCTTGCTAGGGAGTTTGAACTCCCTACCAACAAGAGTTGACTACAGGCTGAGTTAACCCTTCGGGAAAGCAGCGGCACATTACATTATTACACAATAATAATTATGTATTATTGCACATACACAAAAATCCAGGACGCAAGAGGACAAGAGCAGGGCTTGTCTTTGACACAGAAGCGGCAGTCTCTTACGCACATTGGTCAGAAAAGGGGCATTCTTAGATGTTTTCTGCAGAGTGGCCATATGTGTGTCTGTTTCCAAACAAAGTCACAGAGGAGCTTGCTAGAATATCATGTGTGCTCATTTGGAGACTATTTCCCACTTTTTCAAATGTACCCCTACTTACACCTTCGCAGATGACTGGCTGATCTCGTTCTCCAAGAAGGAGAGCGCTGAGCCTATTCCAGTGGGCCCTTTCCAGCTTCTCCAGCACAGACACCTCGGATAACAGACTTCACTTCTGTCCCTCTCTTATGGGTCAGGTGCATCAAGGGACTTTAATGAGATGATGTTTCAGCCTGAATTACACAGCTCGCCTTCCGACACCACACTCCCAAAACAACCTTTTAATTGGAATTTGATTTCCCATGAAACAATACCTTTCAAAATGGGATGGCTGTCCATGTGGGAACAGTGTTTTCTGCTCTGTGACATCTTTATTTCCCAGATGTACCTTTATGTGACATATAGGGTGTACAAGCCCCTGGCACATGTAGCTGCAGCCTGCCATCTGGTCTCCTTGTGGCCCATTGAGAGCCTTTGGCTCAGTCAACAGGTGACACTTTGATAGCACACCTGAGCTCTCTTCATCCTGTGCCTACAATCCCATCGTGTCCTCAGTATACAAGATTAACAAGCACTCCTCATCTTTCTGCAATTTCCCCCCACAGGCTGAACAGAGAAGGCTCCCCAGGATGCCACTTTCCCAGCTCCCTCTCTCATTCCTTGGGCTCCAATAACACTGGACAAATCAGGCCCCTTGAAGACTGTGACTTTATCTATGGTGTTCTTTTGACCTATACACAGCCAATCCGTCTCTGCCTGACAAAACATTTCTAATAGTTTCAGACCTGTGTAGAATGTGAGCTCCTACTGAAGTCTTCCCCAAATCCTTAGATTGGAAAAATCTGTCAGTATTTGGAACTCCAGTAACACTTCACTCCTGCCTCCAATACTCTGATAATCGCTCTGAATTGCAATTTAACTGTCTACATGTCTGGTCTCCACCCTTTTCCCAAACTAGACTATGAGTTCCTGGGGACCAGGCAGAACCATCTCTATACCCCATAATTTAGCTCAGGGCTTACCAATAGTAGATGCTTCCTGCATGCTTTCTGAGTAAGTACTATAATGTTTATCACAGCGATGATGACATCAATATCACAGGCACAAACATACTTTCAGCATCATAAGGTAAACACCGCCTTGTAGCTCCATAGCAGTCATAATGTTTTTGGAGATAAATAATGAAAAGCCTATCTATGCTTATGTGAATGTACCTGATGCTGACTGCTGACACAGAGTTATTTACAGTTTTTTAATGTTCATGGGTTTCAAGCTAAAATGAACAGTTTAATGTTTTTTTGATGAACATTTATATGTTTATTACTCAAGAACTTTCTCTCAGATTCAAATTTCCTTCCCTGTCACGTATGTGCAGAGGTGACACTCAAAATATTTAATAAGCAGTATGGAAATGACAGGACTAATCTGAAGAAATCTACCACAGCCAGAGCAGAGTTCCAGAGGCCCCCTGAAGGACCAGATGTTAACTCTTTGGTTTCTGGATTAATACTGAGGAAGTCTGGGAACTCTGGTGCAGGGCATTCTGGGTGGCGTGGAGAAACTTAATTCCGGGGGATTTGAGCAGTGATAATTTACCAACTAGAATAAAATCATTGCATCATTTAACAGTCAAAGCAACTAATGAAGCACACTGCTATATATCAGACCTTCTTGTGGTCTAAATTTGTCTTTAGCCGTTTTCGGTGTAACAATTCACATCAGGCGATCTTGGGATAATAGAGACCCTAGAAGTTAATGAGTGATAATAATGCTTGGAATAAACATATTAATCAGATATAAACATGATCTTCATTTTGCAGAAGAGAAATTCAAGCCCAGAGGGATCGTGCAACATTCTCAGGATTTCACAGGAAATGGAAAGGCAGGAAAAACAACCAAAGAAGCAAATCGCCATAATGAACATTCTCTACTCTTCAGCACACTGCAGTTCCACCTGTGCTGAGTCTCGGTCTCTTTTAAGGTGTGTATATTCAATCCTCTCCTTGCCAAAATCTACTAGTCACTCTATTATGAGTAGATATAAGAGCAATTGGCAAGCAACATTTAATCCATTCATCTTCTCACCCATTCACCCAACACACAGTTTTCTGAGCACATGCTGAAACACTGTGCAAGGTAGGTACTGGGAGGAGGTAGGTGGGTACAAAGACTAAAATAAAGACAGGGCTTGACACTGGGAATTTCTACTATTGTCTCTTTCAAATTTCCTTTTCATGCTATTCTAGTTTCAAAATAATGTCTCAACATTGTCTCGATTCTCCAAATTCCTTCAAAAGACTGAACACCACTCACTTTACTTATTTAAACTCTCATTTTTTCCTCTTAGCTCTTATTTGGATTCTGTAATTTAGCATTCAGAAACCCAAGTACTTCCTTCTCCATATGGGGCATGAAGGCAGCATGGGCATTGCAGCCACGTGTGCCTAGGTTGAACTCTGCTAATGCATTTGCTGACTATGTCGAGGGTCACAGTAGAAGTGGAAAAAATATTCCAGGGGAGTTCAAAGAGAGGGCAACTTTGTCAGTCATGGCTTGTCATCCATTTCTGTGTAAAAAGGGCTTGGAGAGTGGGTTGAGGCAGGAGTTAGACTTATCTTAATGCTGCCTTTGCATAAGAACCATGTTCTTACTTCTGTTGTACGCTTGATTCAGATTCTTTAAGAGACTGAGATTATAACCACCCTTCTACTCTCTGTTTCTATGAGTTCAGCTTTTTTAGATTCCACATATAAGTGATAGCATACAGAATTTGTCTTTCTGTCACTGACTTACTTCACTTAGCATAATGCCCTCAATGTTGACCCCTACCCCTAGCCACCAATCCTATCCCTTGGTATCTTGTCTATAATCTTGGGTATGAAGAAAAGCCAATCAAGAAAAGTTTCCAAAACAAACTGTCAAAGAGAATTCAGGGAGCACTCATTCTAGCTGCCAGCAAAAATTATAAATGTTATTTTGAAGGACTATAAAAGACGAATAGCTAATTTGTCCAAGCACAAGGAATGTGTCTTCAAGCTGTCTTGTGTCTCCAGTGCCCACTCTAGCTAGCATATTGCTGGACCGCAAGAGAAGATAAAGAAATGCTACCTCGAGTGGAATAGCTTTAACTTCCTAGAAAGCACGGCAATGAGAAGTTCACACAAGGAGGCGAGGGAATGCAAACATACAACCGAAGGACCAAGAAGACACGAAGGGGCAGCAGAAACACAGTAGAAGTCAAAGAGCCCTGGAAACTTAAGGCTCTTGAATTTCAACATGTTCAAACTTAAAGAAAAAAAAGCTAAAGACAAAAGACCAAAAAAAATGCTGGTTAAAAATACAGGAAAACAATAGTGCAATGTTAACCCCTAAAATGCCACATTTGTTCAGAACAGAGAATCTACAATTCATTCAGTCACTAAGTCATTTGTTCATGTTGACAACCCCCAGGTCTTAGAGATATGCAATCAGTTATAAAACAATTACATTGTTCCCCAAATCTCCTCACATAGAGTACCCTACCCATCATTCAATTCACTTCCTTAAAAAGTGTCACCCTCTGCACCCTTGCTCGTCTTCTAAGGAACAGTGTGGGGCTCATCTCAAGCAAAGGGGAAGAGGCTTGTTTCTCTGAATCACGTTGGAACTCTGTGCTTTGGCCTCAGCATGTGGAATTAAGTGTGCCTAGGTGTAAATACCTAACTCAATGCTCTACATTGTACCTTTGCAAATCTGGGTTTGCATTCCAAGTTTGATACTTACGGGCATTTTGAACATGAGTGAATTGGATATACGAAAACGTGGAAGTCACAGGGTTTGATTAAGCCTAAATGAGAAAAAGGAACAATGCTCAAATGTGGATCCGGTACAGTGCTTGCCACCAAGCACAGCTTCCCCTTCTTTGCCTTTTACTAAGTCAGTCAATGCCCGTTTATTAAGTATCAACTTAATATCCAGTTCTTCAATGTCTCTGTATGATGCCACCTGAATTCATGTCTTTATTTAACAGTCTATCATTGAGCATCTACTGTAAGACTCTTGCGTGCTGTACCTGTTACCTGTTGCAAGGATAGGAGTGAGCGACTTAGTTGACAGATCATGGACATGTGGCTGCCTCACAGGAACTACCAGGCATGTGTGACTGTCAGGTGCCCAGTCCACTCTGGTAAGTGCCAGGCAGGAGAAAGGGGTGGCAAATGCACTCATAACACGCAGAATTGGCTGACGTCTTAGCACTTGTTTGGAAGACTGGATATGGCTACAGAATTTCAAATATAAAGAGGTTCCTCATAGAACAGCTTCTGGATTTCCCATTTGCTACTAAAAAGACTAGATTAATAAAGAGTGGGGTGCCCCCACCCATCCCCAGAAACACGATCACATCACAAGTGCAGGGCCTGCAACTCTGCTATCACACCGATCTCAGGAAAACAATTGAGACTTTTCTGCATTATTCCTCAAAAGTCTTTGCTTATGTTTCCTTCTTTTTGCCAGAGAAGAGAGGAACTCATGTTTCATTCAGTCATGGTTGTCTTACTAATCTGTGGAAATGGAGACAACAGATGGATGGTTAGCATACACATGAGACAAAGGAAAGGTCTATGGATCTTGCTTGACACTTGGCTCAACCATGTCCACCTGCTCTTCAGTCAATTCTTAAGTTTCCTAAATTTTATTCACAAAATGTGATTTTAATATTACTTAATATTCATTTTTATGACAGTTGCAAGGGCCCAATGCATCACTGGATTCTAGTAAATGTTAATTTTATCTTATGTTTTTTCTCCTTCAAAGCTTTCCTTTCCATTTGATTAGAAGTTTCTCCAAAGAATATATACCAATAATATAAACTAGAATATATACCATATGTCCAATAAATACACGGAAAGATATTCAACATCATTCGTCATTATAGAAATGGAAATAAAAACTGCAGTGAAATACCACTCCATATCCACTGGAATGGACGATAACAAGTGTTGACAAGAAGAATGTGGAGAAACTGAAAACCTAAGACCCTGCTGGTGGGAAAGAAAAACTGTGCAGCTTCTTTGGAGAACAGTTTGGAATTTGAGAAATTCCTCAAAAAGTTAAATAAGGTTACCAGATGAACCAGCAATTCCACTCCTAGGTGTATAGCCAAGAGAATTGAAAACAAATGTTCATGCAAAACAAATGTTCAGACTTGTACATGAATGTCCACAGAAGCATTATTCATAGCCCAAAAACGGAAGCATCAAGTGATGAATGGATTAAAAATGCAGTATATCTAGATGATGGAATATCATTCACCAATAAAATTAATAAAGTACTAATACACACTGCAGCATGGAAGAACCTTGGAAATCTTATGCTTAGTGAAAGAAGCTAGACATCAGGCTATATTGTATGGTTCTATTTACATGAAATGTCTAGAATAGGCAAATCCATAGACATAATGCAGATCAGTGGTTGCCAGAGGGTGGGAGAAGTGAGAACTTTCCTTTCCTCTCTTTTAATGTTAGTTTTCTATATACTCTTTTATATTTTCAGTTTATTAGTAGGTAAAAGGGGACAAATACGGTTCAATATTTTAGATTCTGCATAAAAATCACAGTCCATTTCATGCGATGCCCTTGAAAGAAAGAGAACACACACTGTAAACCATTTGAGAAAAAAGAAGGCAAACCCATCATGTACTTCCCCAAAGCTCCTTGAATTATTAACACAACTTTACTCCCAGAACTCTGTTTCAGAACAAATATTGTTTTGAGAAAATTGGTCCACTCTCTGTGCCTGTTGGAAAGCAATTAAAGCTGAAATCAAATAGCTATAATCATCTGTTCATTTCCGACCCTTCTCTCTCCCTTTGCAGAAAGAGCTGCTATGTATTAAAGCATTTGTGGATCGTTCAATAATTTAAGTATTAGAGAAAATGGTGGTTTTGGAAAGCAGTGCTGAGACAATTTGGAATTTTCAACAGAAATTCCAAATAAAGTACAGATAAGAAGCTAGCAACCCTCCAAATTTTGCTTCTCTTATGGTGGAAGTCATGAGATCTCCCTGCCTTTACGTTGGCTCATACTGCTTCTTGGTCAGCACTGCAAAGTAGAAACAGACTCACCGTCTTTGACATGTAAAGTTTGGCAGAGGAGAAGATTCTTTGTCTTCCCCACACTGGGACTCCCCGTCTCCTCTTCTCTTCTTTCTGGCGTGACTTTTTCTTGTACACATCTGGTAACATCCACTTTTATCTATCCCAGTTGGTGGACCTTAACCAAGAATCAGATTTACTTCATAAAAAACAGCGGTCAGGGAACTGTGGTACATGGGCCAAGTCTGGGCCATAACCTGTGCAAATAAATTGTATCGGAACACAGCTAAGCTCATTTGTTTTCACATTGTCTACAGCTGCTTTTTTTTTTTGAGGAAGATTAGCCTTGAGCTAACATCTGCTGCCAAGCCTCCTCTTTTTTGCTGAGGAAGACTGGCCCTGAGCTAACATCTGTGCCCATCTTCCGCTACTTTATATGTGGGATGCCTATCACAGCATGGCTTGCCAAGCAGTGTCATGTCCGCACCAGGGATCCAAACCGACGAACCTCGGGGCCACCAAAGCAGAACATGCAAACTTAACCACTGCGCCACCTGGCCGGCCCCATGTGTACGGCTGCTTTTGAGCTACAATTAGTTAAGCGGTTGTGAGAGAGACCACATGGCCTATGAAGCCTAAAATATGTACTATCTCACCTTTTACAGAAAAATTTTGCCAACTCCTAATATAAAAGATTGGGGATGGTGGCTTTCCTTTAAATTATATATTTGATATGTTTGACCCATTAGAAATATTTGACATTAATTTAAGTGCTTTGGTGTTGTGTATTTCAAATAAATATACACATGCGGGAGAGACACAGCCAAAAACTGAGCACTAAATTTTGGAGTAAGACAGACTTGAAGCTTATCTCGGTTCTGATATTTAAGTAGCTGTCCGATCTTGGATAGGTTACTTAACTTCTTTAACTCTGTTTCCTTATCTGTAAAAGGGGGATAATGAGGGTACCTACCTCTGTTAATTAGAGAGATTTTGACTGAGACTACATAAAATTCAACTTAAAATGGCTCCAATCAGAAGGAAAATAACATCATCTCACTCAGCTAGAGGTGGTTCCTGGGCTGTCTAATTCAATGGCTTAACGGGATCATCAAGGACCTGGCATCATTCTATCACATCTAGACATAATCTTGTATAGAATTGCAACACCAGCCCACTTCTTAACCAGACTCCAGCATGGGGACTGGCATTCCACTGATTGGCTTAGGAAAGCACATGGCCATGTGGAGAGTGGACTGATTGTCAGAACAAAACAGGAATTCAGTTAGAAGGGAAGCCCATGGAGGATGAAATGTGAGCAGCGAGGCAACAATATCATGAGGAGTCAATAAGCTAAGGAGTGTGAAACACATAGTATGTGTTCAATAAATGTTGGCTCTGCCTTAGGGCTGTGATATCATCTTTTTGTTGGATTTGCTGGTAGTGTCCTTCCAAAATATACACTTTAATAAAGAGTAAGCTTGAATTAATTTTTCTTGAGACTTTTAGAAGAAATGCATATCATTCCATTAGATGACTGAAAAGTTTGCAGGATTTACTGAGAGTGGATGGACATCAAGCTCAAACACAGACACTTCTGTATCTTTGTTGCAGCCCACACTCACGTATCAGTGTTACTCATGTCCATTTTACACTATGTGTATATCAAACACTTATGCATCCCTTAGGTCATTCTGTGTAATTAACTGCAAAGTAAATCTAATTAAGGTAAATGGATATGCTATTTTCCTTACGAAATCACTCACTAATGCCTATAAGTAATAAAAAAGAAGCCCCTCTCCTTAACCCCCTTAATTCTGGCTTGGCTCAAGCATCATTGTCTCCAGCTACTATTTGCAGCTTTTCTTATCTGCCCTCAAAGGCACAGAATTCCACATTCCCTTTGTCACAGCCCTTATCACACGGCATTGTAAATGCTGGTTTACATGTTTCGTCCGGTTCACCAGACTGCAACCTTTGAAAGGGCAAGTCCTGATAATACAGCATGCCCTTCTTCCACGCTTTGGGGAAAAAATAACAAACAGCATAAATGTCCAGTGAGAATGTCCATTATCGAGAGACCATGGCCCTTATTTACACCTCTGGCCATGGAAGAACTGCAGTTTCCACTTGCCAGAGTGAAAGCCCATCCCTTCTCTCCGTTTTGCTTCTCCTTGTGTCTTCAGCAAGGCAGGGTGATTAGAGCCTTCCAAAAGTCCGTTGTTGTTTTCCTTTCCCCCTCCCTGTACCATTCAGGGCATTTCTCCTCGAAGGGAAAGAAGAAATAGACCGGGACTCTATCCAAAATTTAGAGTTGATGCAGGGGGTAAACATGAGCCAGGAAAGCTCATCTGTAGATATTCTGAGCAGGTGTGAGAAGATCTCAGCGACTCTAACTGCTAACTTACGAGATATTTATTTAAAACTATCCCACCAACAAAAAAAGCACACAAATGACCCAAACCACAGCTCTGGATACAGTGACCAGACACTCCACGAGGGCAAATGTCCTTGGAGAATGCTGACTGCAGAGTCTGGAAAGCTCCCACTTCCCGCCCTGAGAGCTGTTCTAGAAAAATGCCTCTGTCTTGCAGGACTCTCCCAGTAAGCTCTGCGTTTTGAAATCCCATCCATTTTCCCACCCACGACTCAGAGTCAGGTCAGTCGTGCGCTTTTCCCCACTCCTCCCACCTGGCATTAACCTTGGCCTCCTCGCCGCTTCCTCAGCATATCTTTATTATAGCACGCGTCCCTCTCTGTCTTAAGTGCTGGCTATTTTTGTGGGTGTTTCTCATTCCTCCCTCCCACCAGGGAGATCGTGAGCTCCTTGAGGGCGAGGGTGGTGACTCACTCATCTCTTCTGCCCCAGTGTCACAGACCACCTGACCTAACAGAGAAGCAGAGGCAGGAATATATGTCGATCGATAAACATGGCTGAGTACGTTTGTCCCATTATACTTTACTGCAAAACTAAAAGCAACTTTGTAAACAGACTATTTCCCTTATGCAAGTAGGACCTTGAAAAATGAAAAATTACGTTAAAGAACCTGGTTGTTGATCCTTTCCGTATGAGTGCCTATCTAAGAAGAAAAACATTCCCTTTTTTCTATTAGGGTGAGGATACCGCATCAAATATAAATGCCTGTGTTTGCCTAATTCCATTTCTGGTGAAGGCATACATTTCCTTCGAATTTAAAATTGCCTCAAGGGATGGGATTTTGGCAGACAGTGTTAGATTACAAAAGTCAGGTTTTCTCTATAAATGGCCTCCCCAGGCATTCAAGATCAAAATGTCACAAAATGATCATATCAGAACCCTCAAAGGTGAGAAAAGTGACTGACCCCTGGTAATGATCTCATGCCAGCAGAGAGAAAAGACAGCGTGGAGTCTGCCTTAGCTTCTCTGGGAAAGGAAAAGTTCTGCAAAGCCTGGATGTGATTCCAGAGGTAACACTGGGCTGCCTTGTAAGGCGGTGCATCCCCATCATTGCAGGTGTGCAAGCACAGTGGACTGGTCACTAATCATGGGTGTTTGAAGGGATTTCTTCCACTGATCAGAGGGCTGGACTATATAGCCACTAAGGTCACTTCCAATGTCAGTCAGCGAGAGATCATCCTTAGATTTAAGCTGTGAGGAAGAGCCACAGAGTGGCAGAAGAGAAACTGTTGGCTCCCCAGTCCCCTTGTTCCCTGAGGCATCCGACAGGCAGGAGGCAGTGTCACGATGCTACACAAATGCAAGGCGTAGGCTTCCAGGCTCAAACACAGCATGTACCAACACACTGACACAGTGTCTTAGTCAAAAATTAGAGCTGTGAAAGCTGATTAATTTTGCATCCAACTGAAATTCTATTTCACAGCAAAGCAGTTCCGCAGCTGTGAAAGGATAAGCACTATGGCTCCAAAGAAATCAATGATCCCACTCTAGTACTTAAAGCATCCTTAGGATTCCCTTTGGGTGACAGACAAGTGTATAGGAACATTGCTCTGATAAATCAAACCTCAGGCATTCCAACCAGTGGGCAAACAATTGCCCATGAAACTCATGCACTTGTCTGCCCTTGGTATTCACTGGTTTTCTGCCAGCAGAGCAGCATGGAAGGTCACAGGTCCAGGCCTCCATCTGCTCCCACTCAGGTACCCTCTCCATGTCCCGCTTGCTCCCTTCTGCACTGCAGTCAGTTAGTACTGCATAGAGATTATATTGTCCAAATGTTTAAGAGAGTCTGATAGTGCTGAACAGCAAGATGTGCACATCCCAGCTCTAATCATGGGGAACCTTTATTTTTAGTCACCTCCATAAACAGGCTGAATGGTCAAAGCAGCTTTTTCCGAAAAGGTCTTAAGGAAAAATTACTCTAGGAATAGCCATAAAAAATAAGAAGAGAAAAAAAGAAGAAAAGCACATTTTCAGTGGGGAATGACGGTGTTAAAACATCTTCTTTCTTCTCAATGTCTCCAGCCCTTCCACTATGGTAATGTGAATATGAATGTTTAAGAAAGGAATTTAGGAAGCCCGTTTCACAGCTTATTTGACCATGGAAACCTTTGCTCCTGGCTCCCACTGAAATTTCAGTTCCTCAGAAGCGTAGTTTAGGAAATACTGAGTTAAAATCAAACCCATGGATCTACAGCATACAGGGACATTAATAGCATGGTCTAGAAAGAATCAGAGAACCAAAGACTTTACCCAATTCAGAGGCGGGTAAAAATAGCATTCGACCTAGAAATGGTTCCTTTTTCATGAAAAGCTTGGGAAAGCAATAAAATTGCCTCGGTGTGCACAAGTGCCAGACCAAGCGATGGAGACAAGTGCAGGGAGCGAGGCGACAGAGACCAAGCATGAACAAAGTGTAAGCGGGTCCAGGAAGGATGTCAGGGGGCAGAGGCAGCTGCAGGAGGCGTCCTGACAGGGGGCAGAGCTGAATCCCTAGGGCAGCAATGCATAGAAATGGCCCCAGTTTTAGAGCCATAAGAATACAGTTGATTAAGATGCTGTTGCACAAGTTTCATCAATGCAGATGATGAGATTTTTCTGCAGTAAATACAATAGCCAGGAAGCCACAGAGGTGAGCTTGGGATGTTGTTCGGAAGAAAACTCAGACTGGACCAGAGCATGGCCAGAATCAAGATGTGAAATGGAAGAGGGGGCAACAGAATCACATCTGGTGAAGGTTATCAACAATGCCACCTGAAGAGAAACAGACGTTATGCTAAGAACCCCAATGTACATCGTTATACTTCAGATCTTAATTTAGTGGGTATTTACTTGGACTACTTAGGAAGCCAGATGGATAAACTCGCAGCTGCAGTCAAGGGTC